AGATTATTAGAGTCGTACTAAATGAGTACTACATTCTTGACAAGAAAGTTGTAGGAAAACTTTAAATTGTCTTTATTGTACCCCGGGTGAAACATTTGTGTTCTGTTTGTTTTTTAAGGTGTAGATGTTGCCTCCATTCACACCATGAAGACACAGAGAGCCACCACCATGATGTCTGATGTTAAATTGCTGGTAGCATCARGGGGAAGCTTCAACCAGGTCAATGATGACGGCGTGACTCTGGTAAGAAAAGTCACACATGTCAATAACATGGGCACAGACTTTTATCTGACTCAACAATCTTTTATTTTCAACTCAGTTTTATTCTAAAAGATTATGCATTAGTATTTTTTTCCTAATCCACCCTCATTTTTGGTCTCTCCTGTCTTTGCTCCTTTTATTATCTCTCCTGTCTGAAGCTCCACATTGCTTGTGCCAGTGGTTACAGAGAGGTGGTGTCTGTCTTACTGGAGAATGGATCGGACCCTCATCCATCTGATAATGTCTTTTGGACCCCACTTCATTTGGCTGCTAAATATGGGCAGGTAAMTTACAAACTTGCACATGAATGTCTGAATGCTAATAAAGTAGAAACCTCATTTAAACTCATCTAGCATTGACCCAATGTGATTGTTGTCATTAATTAATATTAAGAAAATTATCAATGGATTTTTTTTTCCTCAGAGGAACTTACCTCTACATATTGCTGATTTTTGACCTCCTGTAAGGACAAAAGAAAAAACAATGCTGCACATGTCTAATCATGTCATTTTTGGTAGGCATTTCAGTTTTTGTTGTTGTTAGAGGAGGGGATAGAAACAAGTGATCCTATATTTTGTGTTCTTCCTTATAAACATGACATTTTCATTGATTTAATTAGTTGGAATCACACTGCCTTGGGCCTATCTGTCCTGAAGCATGTYCTTTCTTTTCATTACTCAAGTCTGTTTTTTTTATTTCTCGTTTTTGCCCACCACCAGACATTTAATCTTTGTTTTTGATTTCATTTTTTACACAATAAATTTGTCTAGATGCTCAAACAATAGCTAATCAGAAAACCTGCATGTAAAAGTTCTAACTGCAGAACTGCAAAAAAAATGTTAACCTCTTTTTTCTTGWGCTTTCTCTGCACACTTGCACTGTTTGTATATTTGAAAGTGTGTCGGTGTATTTAGTAGTGACAGTTTGGAGGACTGTAGAATAGATTAGTTTTGTTTGTTTGGATTTCTTTTCTTTGCTGTGCTGAACCTCTGTAGTAATTTGCACTTTCCTGGTGGTTGGATTGCCTCTTGAATACAAACCACTCCCTGGCCTGTTCAACATTTCTCTTTGTCACCTTCTTTTTATCGCTAGTCCCTCAGCATTGCAGTGACTAACACAGGACATTGGGCCTCATGCAAAAACCGTTCGTACGCACAGATTTGTTCTTAAGTTGTGCGTACGAGTGATTAGGGGAATTTGTGGCATTCACCAATGTTTTCGTATTCTAAGATTTTTTTCAGACACAAACAAAATTCACGAGTGGTCCAGACCTGTCGTATATTTTACAAGCAGTCAGTCTGCTGTTATCCAGATGGATTTTATTCACTAATAACTTTATAT